ACTACATCTGTAGTGTTTGTAGTAAAGGATTTTTGCGACAAGGAGATCTGAAGAGTCACATGCGTGTTCACACCGGGGAGAAACCTTTCCTTTGTCATGTTTGTAGTAAAGGATTTTCTCAGCGAGTATATCTGAGAAGACACGTAGATATTCACAACGCAGAGTTCGGCTGCAGCAGCTGTGGTAAACGTTTTGTGACGGAAACGCAGTTAAAGCGACACGCGAGACTGCACACGGAGGAGAGGCCGTACGGTTGTGACGTCTGTAAGAGCAGATTTATCCAGAGGAATCATCTGGAAAATCACATGAGGTTCCATTCTGGAGAGAAACTCTTTGCTTGTCGTGTTTGCGGTAAATCGTTTTCTCTGCGTGGCGATCTGAAAAGGCACATGCGCGTTCACACGGGGGAGAAACCGTTTGTTTGTAGTGTCTGCAGCCAAAGATTTTCAAGACCAGCATATCTGAAAAAACACATGGATGTTCACACTTTAGCTTTTAAAAGCTTTAGTGATTATAGCTGACTTTTTTTAGAAGGAAATGCATATAAAGCAAATAAACAGCAATAATTAAAAGTGTTTTAACGGTTTGAGGAGACAGTCTTACTGTGGGTTGCTGTAAATCTTTTTATCCAAAAGCTGCGGCTCGTTATGATGTTAAAAATGTTTTTACCCACCATACTTTATGTTATCAGTGTTTCTATGTTTGACTCTATGCGATACCTGGGTTTTGCATGATCAACTTTAAGCTAATGCTAGTTCAATGAGAATGGACAATGCTTTAAGCAGTTCCTTTGTTTATTAAATTTGTTGTTAAGTTTTTTTTCCCCCATGTTAGCAGTGATATGAACACATTTAGAGGCAGCAGCAGGTTCCTGTCTGTCGTCTAACCTGTTCTGTAACTCTGATCTGATCCAAGGCCTTTAAGAGAAAATCCAACTCTGGTTTTCTCAAAGAAAATAATATTTTATCACATTGTTTCCTTTACTGGAGCTAACATGAAACATCAGCAGCTAACTATGAATTATCAAAACAAAGACCGAATGAGTTCAGCTTTGTGTTAAAGGAAGAGTCAGTTCAGCAAG